CTCTCTCACTGCGCACTCTCCAGCTCTCTCACTGCGCACTCTCCAGCTCTCTCACACACACAGTCTCTTCCTCTCACTCTCTCTCTCTTGCACACATAGTCTCTTCCTTCTCACTCTCTCTCTCCCGCACACACAGTCTCTCCCTCTCCCTCTCTCTCTCTTGCACACATAGTCTCTTCCTTCTCACTCTCTCTCTCCCGCACACACACAGTCTCTCCCTCTCACTCTCTCAGTCTCTCCCTCTCACTCTATCTCTCTCTCACACATTGCACAACCGCCATAGCTACCGTTGACCGTGAGCAGCACTGAACCTCAGTGCCTCGCGGACAGGTACGTTCGCTGCACTCGCCGCCGTTCACTGTCCGTGTCTGTTGACTTCAACCAGCGTTGGCAGCGGTGGGCTGTGTACACCGTGCATGCTTCGGAAAAACTCCCCCCGTCTCCATGTCCAGATGCCCGTTCACTTCGTCCGTATCTGCGACGTGGGCGGGGTACGCCTTGCATGCCGCGAGAGACTCCCCGTTGACTTCCTCAGTATCTGCGACGTGGGCGAGGTACACCTTGCATGCCGCGAGAGACTGCCCCCGTCTGAATGTCCCCAAGACTTCCCCCCTCCGGCCTTATGCGAACTACCGCTCAACTTGTCCAAGCTCCCAGACTCAAGGCACTACACTCACGGGTACCCACGGCCCGAACCTGCTGCAGTCACTGGACCTGCCCTGGTATCGAGGGTTTTGCCTTGGCTACTTAGGGACTGTCGCCCTGATCCAGGATTGCTAAACCAGTAACTGGGTCACTCTGACCAATGTCGGACAGTGGGGAACTGTGGGAGTACCAAAACCAAACCTGCGTCCAGGCCCTCGTAGTTGTCGATACACCTGATCAAACGCCGAGGCACAGATCACACTGAAAAATAAAAAGGTGGAGCTGCAGCATTTCGTTCCGGGGTCGTGACGGCTCTAAACCAGTGAACTGCACCTGTTATCGAACCTATAGAACGCTACTGTCGTGCCATCTCCACGCAGAACCAATGACCCCGCGTCAAAATATCAGTGCCGAACCAGAGATACCATGGCAAAATATACATGCAGAACCTGATCCGATGCAACCATTTTGTGCCACAGCCACCCAAGTAAACCGAACCTGGAATAGTCAATCGGAGTCGCTGTGACCCGTATGAAACATGTCGTTGTGGAACCAATCCCGGGCCTGAAATATCTTGAATGTCGTAGAATGTCACAACCCTGTAATAGTACCGGACCCCCCCCGAATCATGTGTCCGAACCGAACCAGCGACCGAAGCAATACATTCGGACCAAGGTAGCACCAACCCACGCTGTCCATGCGGCCCCGCTCTCTCGAAACACACCAACTGCGACAAGGCTAGTAACCAGATATATCAGGTAAGTCACGTGAGCGATCTCAATTATCGGAGAATAGGGAGGATCGTAAAATCAGGGTAAATAAATAATCTGGCCCCAAACCCATCATGAATAATTTAAACAGAATTTAATCAAATATTAAATAATCATTAATTTTCTTCCCTTTCAATCATTTTTCATTATTTTTTTTATTATTTAATCTTATCATAAAAAATAATAAAAATAAAAATAATTCAAACAAAAATGAATTCCGATGGAATTCAATTAAATAATAAAATTTTCTTTGTTTTCTTCTTTTTTTATTGTTTTTGATTCCTTTCCCTATTTCTGATTCTATTACTGGAAATAACAAATAACGACGGTGATTCCATTAAAATTAAATACCGAGGAAATTTAATAAAATAAAGAATATCCCGTTTTTCTCTTCGCTTCTATTGTTCTTAATTTCTTTTCCCATTTTTAATTCTGGTATTAAAATTAATGAAATCCGAGGCTCCATTCCCGCTCCAATTGTGCAAAGTAAAACGGTCATGCCAAGGCCTACTCCCGTATTCCCATCCCGCGGCTAGCTGCTTCGGGAATAGACTCGGAACAAGCGGAAGGGAGGTGGGGCACAACGTGGTAGAAGCGGTAACTCCCCTCGTTAATTTGAGGGTTACTCTCAGTGGTCAGCATATCCAAAATTAGGGGTGTTCTGGGTACCCCTAATTTTTTCCGTCAAGTCAAACAAGAGTATCGTCAAAATACGGTCTAGTCATCGGGTCGAAGACTCAAAATCGCTGATTTCGGGTGGCCCATTGCTTGTGGCCGCCCAACAGCTAGCTCGGACCTCTTCTCGACGCCCCCGTCGAGCCCTCAACTTGCGCAAACTCAAATTGAACCTCCGGGCGACAGCCCGGACCCATTTAGAGTTGTTCCGGAGGGCTGCAACCCCTAGTTAGCAGTATCCAAGAGAAGAGGTGGGTGGTAGGGCCACAATCCCCGATGGAAAAATCAAAATTTGTGTCTACGGATGGACGTTAAAAAGAGAAATTTTTCTGACGGGATAAAATTTTTTAATTAACCATTACTAAAAAAAAAAATAATAAACAAATATTTAATAACTGCGTTTCTAAGAGTGCACGTCGCCGGTTTTGTGCGGGAAAGGTGAGAAAAATTCGGTAAAATCCTTTCGAACAAACATACCCCCAGCGAGTGTTGTTCAAAACCGCTCCGATTGTGGAGTGTGCGAAATCGTGCAGATCCTCGCTCGTTTAGCGTAACGGGGGTCAATTCGACCTCGTTCCGCGTCGTTGAAAGTTGTAGCCTTATCGCAAGTCTTGAGTACCTTTAGTACTCGTTCTCTCTCCTGCGGGGTTAAGATCCCATCGTCGATATCCATCCCTGCCATCCTACGCTGCAACTTTTTTTTTTTCCTTTCCTTAATCTCTTTGGCGATCTCCTCTTCATATATTCCTTCTAGCGCAGATCGCTCTCGACGTACCGCAGCACGTTTAACTTTCTGAGTTACTCGCTTGTGTTGTTTGGGTTGCTCCGCGTAAGGGGGGGGGGCTGTGCCCTTAAAAAAGACATAGATATCACGCCGCCGAATTCTTCGTTCCTTTCCTTTGGATAAGAGTTTTCATCCATTATCAGTCGATTTCCTAAATCTTCCACTTCGACGATCTGCCCTTCTTCTTCCGTAAGTAGAGGCCCGTACTTCTTCTCGCGAAATCGCACCGCGCGGCTGGAGAAAGGTAATGACTTAATCCGATCACTGGGTCCCGCTCCTACAGCGAGAGTTGCTCTGTTCCTCGGATCTCGAGGCTCCACCGTCTCAATCATAACCAGCGTCCCATCTAGCTTCTTAATGGACAGTGACTGGCTCCCATCCGGTCGCTCTATCGTCACCGCATGCACATGGCTCAACCTCGTCCGTCCCAAGAACAGTTCAGAGCTGCAGTTCTTCACTGCAAAGACCGGCAGGGTCACTCGTACCCCTTGGACCTCTATTGTTGCCTTGTGACAAACCCCGGTGATCTGTTGCTTTCTCCCATCAGTCATCTCTATCTCGAACAAGTATGACCTATCGAGTCCCAACCCAACTCGCTCTCCCAGATCCTCGTGTATAATGACAGTCTCACTGCCGTTATCGATCACAACATCTAGAACCGCCCCGTCGTTTAGGATCGCCTCCACGGTCTCACTACCAAGTATGTAAAACTTGTCTGGAGGTACACCTTTCATCCCATCAAGAAGAACTGTCGCCATGCGTTCCGCTCTAGCTGTCACCTCTGATACTGCTACAGTAGGAGCTTCCGCCTTAGGGGTCACCCAAATCTCCTCCGATAGAGGTATGCGAGTCTTCTGCATGATCATCTGTAACTCGTCGAGAGTCGGCTTGGATGCTGCCAGATATTCCAGAATAGAGCACTGCACGGGCTGCCGAAGGGCCCATCTCAGTGGCTCGACCGTGTTAATATCATCCAGCGAACTCTTCATCAAGAACTTCTTCACTCTCCACTTTCGTGGTGAAAGAATAACCTCCTCTCCATCGATCCGCTGTCTGTCCTTCTCTGCCATCAAGTAATCCGTGTCAGTCTTCCTCGATGTAGAGCCTTGCGCTGACTTGGTAGCTGCCACCCTTATGTGTGTAGTTGCCATATCTCCGTCGAAAGTTATCTTGATGCTCTGGCTCCTAACCGGCCCCTTTCCTTTACTCTTTTTTACTCTCCTTGCTTCTACATTCTCCTTCATCGAAGGGAACATCGATACGTCTCCCAGATCATCTGCCCACTTGACGTACTTGCGGTCATCAAGCATGACAAGTCCCTCATCTATTGCCCGTTTGAGATCCGGGCAGTCTCTCTTGATATGATCATCCCCTCTACAGTAGACGCAAGAGTTCTTAAGAGTGGGTGGCCTCTCGTCTGCGCTCCTCGAGGTCGAACCCCTCGCTGCTCTGGGGTCTGGGGACTTTGTATGCGGATCGGATGACGCGCCATATCCCCCTCTCTCATTTCGGTCGCGCGAATCATTGTGGCGGTCTCCTCCAGATCCTCCTCACTCATATCGTTCCCGTGAGTCATTCCGGCGATCCCCATGGTTGTATCGTATGAGCAACTCATCGCGGCGATCTCCTCGGTCGTACTACCCCCGCGAATCGTCACGTTGCGCCCTTGCGAATCCCCCGCGGCCATATCGTCCGCGCGAGTCATCTCGTCGGTCTCCGTCTCGATCTCCTCTCTCATACCTGCCACCCCTGTATCCATCTCGATTCGACCTCTCATATCTGTCGTCCCTATATCCATTTCGGTCCGATCTCTCATATTTGTCGTCCCTATATCCATTTCGGTCCGATCTCTCATATCTGCCGTCCCTATGTCCATCTCGGTCCGATCTCTCATATCTGTCGTCCCTGTATCCATCTCGCCGGCCCTGATCTGACTCCCACCGGCCTCGAGAGTCGCCTCTACCCCCATCTGCCTCATAACGAGGGTTGCGTGAGTAATCATTCAGCCTCCTAGCTCCTCAATACGTCTCGCGAGCTTTGCGGTCCCAGTCTATCTCATCATCCCTACATCGCCTTGGCTCATCGTCTCTCTCTCTTTCCCGTACTCGATAATCAGTTAGCGTTCGAGGATTTCTATCCTCGACACTCCTTCAAAGATCGGTGTTCCTACGGTCCCACCGAAGTGAATAGGGCCCTCCGGGTTTGTCCCGGTATGTCGTGGCTCCCGTATTGGTCACAATCTCTGTAACCTGCCTTGTCAATCCCTTTACCATGTCCCTTATCTCCTTCACTTCCTCAGCTACCGCTTCATTCTTTTCCGACCAGGGATAGTCCTTGAAATCAGGGCATCTATCAGTGGCATACTCTTTATAGAGAGAGAAGTTTCGCCTCCTCATTCCTCTCCATACCAAGTCCTTGTAGTCGTCTTCCTCTGCCTTTATCGCGACCTTTAGGACTTCAGAGAAGTCAAGCTTGTCGTGCGGGAGATCTCTAAGTATACTCTTTTGTCTCCCTTTGGACAGGTGTCCAATAAAAATAGTATAGCGCTCGACCTCTGAGATCTTTCCCTTCTCCATTAGCACGTCGGAGATCTTCTGGAAACGCATCCTAAATGCTTGTACGCTCTCATCTTCATCTTGAGTCATAGTCTCAAGGTCCTTGATGGAATACTTGTTATCCTCTAATTTGTAAAGCTCAATGAGGTTCTTCTTATACGTAGTCCATTTTCCATCCTTCGGTCGGGCTTCCTTAACTTCCTTGTCGAGACTTGGATCCATGTTAAATAGGAAGTTTTCTATAATCTCTTCCTCCGACCACTGACTCCGGCTAGCATGAAGCTCCCACTTCTCCAGATATTCTGTGATACCATAGCCCCTGAAAGTAGAAGGTTCATAGGCCTTGTGCGTAATAATATAGCGATCCTTGCTCTCGTATGGGAGCGGATGTGACTCCCCCGTCTGGGGGGTCGAAGACACTCCGGGACGTTGCTCTATCCCTGTCTCTGTCCCTCCAATAGGAATCTCGTGAACTCTCTCTCCAGTCGTCCCCGTACCTATCCGCCCTAGTTTCCCTCCGTTCATACTCAGGGGAGCGTCGTGTCGTCGCTTCTCGTCGAGCGCTCGAGGTCATAGTCTTCAGAGCCTCCTGCGGCTCTGTCACGACCGGCTCACCCATTACGTCGGGTTCTCCGTCATTGGTTTGGTCATCCCATCTCAGCGGTGCTCCCTGCCTAATTCGTTCCTTCAGATCCCTCAGTGCTCGGTCGGGCGATGTCTTGTACTCCTCTCCTACTTCGCCCGTGGTCGGTTGTGGCTCATCGTGTCTGGTTCCATAGGCTACCAGAAGTTGTAGTCGGGCACTTACGCCAGGCGTTACAGCCCGGACCTATGACAGTTGGAGCAGCCCGGACCTGTGACTGAACTCGCGGCCCCGACCTAATGTCAGAATCGGCAGCCCCGACCTAATGTTAGAACTGGCACCCAGACCCAATGTCAGGACCGGCAGCCCGGACCTAATGTTTGATCCGGCAGCCCGGACCTATTGTCTTATCCGGCAGCCCATACCTATTTGTCAACAGTCCCTTATGTCCTAACAACTACGCTAGGAACTTCTTCAGTTGGGGCGTTGGGCTAGCTCAAAATTAGAGCTTACGGACAACAGCCCGGCCCAATTTTGAGTTGCCCAGGGGCGCCACAAACCCTGGTTAGCAGAGCCCAAGAGAAGGAGTGGGCGGGAGGGCCGCAACCCTGATCAGCGGCACCCTGCAGTATGCAAAAAACTTAGTGAGAAGGGCGGGCGGGATGGGGGAACACCTCTAACAGCAAACTATCATATGAGAAAAGTAAGACTCGGAATAGTCAGAAATAGGGATGTGAGAGAAACCCAATTGACATTGGTAGAGAGAAGTGCAGAAGGAATTAGAACGGAGGCGCGATGACAGCCTAACTGGGACTTTCCGCAGATCGATCGAGCCCTTGCGACTCGGAGCTGCACTGAAGTCGTACTAATCTAGACTRATCTAAAAAGGAAAGGGTGTTGAAATCCCGGTTTCGGATTGGCCTATAGGTCTTATATTTGAGTTCCCTCGAATATAAGGTGTGGGCTCAACTCGAGGGAGTTCTGTTTACTGCACCCTCGAATAGGTATCCGAGCAACGGACCCTGTCCCCTAGTCAAAACCCAAAATTAAGAGTCGAGCGTACTCACTCTTTGAATTTTTAAGCCTCTTTCGCAATTTTAAGAGATTTTTAATCGTCTAAATTAATAAAAATTGCTTATAAACGAGAAGAAAACACTACCTCGCGCTCAGCGCATAGGGGGATGTAATGAAAACCCTAGCAAGTTGCGAGTTATGCACGTGCTTCCTTCTACCCCTTGCTGTTGATTTAATCCGAATATTTGACAAATAATTATGAAAAAATAACTTTAATAACTGAAAATTTTCGTCACTTGCCTCAGGCCTTTGGGAACAAGCCAGTAGGTTCACCCGAACCCACGTTACCGCAGCTTCTCTTTCCCTTCTTCCTCTAGGGAATTCTTTTATATTTTCCAATTATAAATTAAAGAAAATATATTTAGTTAGGATAAAATCTTTTTTTTAGTTTATATATATTAAGGATGAATACATATATAAGCCCGCCAAGTTTGAAGATTTTTAGGGGTAGAAATAAAATTTGGGGAATTTACTAAAATTTTGGCACCGTTTCGCCTCCCCCCATTGGTATGGGGTTGGGGCGAAGCCCTCAAACAGCGTTGCCGAAGGGGGAGTATCAAAAGGAATAATGGAAAAAAAGGAAAATTTATTTAACTTGATTTTTAAATATTTTTGTTAATTAATTTGTAAAAATTTAAATCAAAACTTTTAAAAGTGAAAAATCAAAAAATTTTGACAGCAGTTTTTCTTCCCCCCCGTTGGGATGGGGTTCGGAAAAAAGTCCCTCAAATACCCCGTTGGGATGGGGTTCGGAAAAAAGTCCCTCAAATAGGTAAAGTAGATATGAAGTGCATTGAAGTCAAACAAATGCCCCTACGCAATTTTTAATATTTAATTTTAATTTTTATCGATTTTAAAAATCCAAAGTAAAATAATTCATAAGAAATTTTTTACAGCAATTTCCCTCTCCCCGTTGGGATGGGGTTCGGAAGATTTTCCCTTGATTAAGAAAGAGAGAAGGAAAAAAAGAAAAATAAACAAAGTCGAAATCTCGGCCGCTTGAATTTTACTGATTTTTATTATTTTAATTTAATTTTTAATTGTTTAATGGAGCAAAATTTCCCGAATTAATTTCCACAATTTTGTGGGATATATTTAACGAGAAATAATCCACAACAAGCGCGGAGGCTAGAAGCTATGGCTTCCCTCTATTTACCCGCTTCTCTCAAAATTGGGGTTAGGACTTTACCCTAATTAGGGTTTCCCTGAATTAGGGTTTTACCCTAATCAGGGTTTCTCCGAATTAGGGTTTTGGGTTTTGCACGCAACCGCACGCACACCTCAAAGCCCCGCTCGACGCTAGAAACTTTTTGTTAGCTTTCACTAGGTTTAGAAGAAAAACTTATCGGATTATATTTTTAAATTTATTTTTCTTTTAATTTAAACAAAATTACAAAGAAATTCAATTTCCCGTTGATTTTCTTCCGCCTTTTCTATTTGTTGGAGCCCGCCGTTTGCCCGAACGAAGTCCGTTTTCCTTGACTAGGGTCTCAAAATGTCGGGAAAATTACAAGGAACAACTTTGCTCCCAGCGGTTTTCTCCGGATTTTACTTCCTTTTCCCGTAATTAAATAAAAATAAAAACGATAATTTTTAATTTTATTTTCAAGAAATTAAAGAAAATTAATTTCCTAAAAAAAAATACAAAAAATTTCGTATCTTTTTTTTGTAGCCGTTAGAATTTTTCAAAAAACGTCTCAAAACATTCGCCTCGACAAGAGGATGAACTTTGCTCCCAGTACGATCCACGTGAAAACGCGCGGATCGGGAGATTTTTAAAAAAAACTAATTCAAAAAATATCAAAAAATGAAGCTAATCAAAGAAACGAGCTAATTAGTGCTTGAACTAATCAGCCTGCGCACCCCTGTTGATTGGGGAAGGCCGTTGCCTTGGGGGTGCAATCCCCTCCCTGGCAACGACGCCAAAGTTGTGAGAAAACCCGGGGAGGGGTCGCCTGCAGTTCGCCGAAGCTAAGGGCAACGGCGTCTGTCACCCGCCGCGCTTGCTTCCGAGGTCCTCGGTGACCAACAGGGGGCCTGTCGCCTGTTTCGACGCGTAACGTGATCAGATGTTTTCTTTTTTTTTTTGCTGCAATTTCAGGTGTAATATAATCAGCAATCGGAGCTACTTCTTTCTTACTCAATCCCACATACGTTATTAATTGGAATGGTTTTCACGTGTTGGGTGGTTACCGTTAGGAAGGTTCAACAGAGCGGATAAACATCGGATCAGCAATCGATGGGCAATGTCAGCGTCTCCTGCAGTTTGTAAGTCAATTGAACAAACGAAAAGAAAACTGATCTCGTCTCTTTCACTCTTGTTCCCACCTTCCCTCTTTCTCTTTTCTGTCGCGCTCTCTCTGAGACTCACTTCTCTCTCTCTACAGTTCTGCGCTCACTCTCCCCTCTCTCTCCCGCAACCGCTTCCTCAGTCGCAGCCCTCTGTTTTCCTCTTGCCCGCCCAAAGTGCTATAGGGGCACCATTCTTCGAGGTTCGGGTCTCACAATTCCAGCAATAACAAAGAACAGTCGAAGGCGTGTGCCCCAACGAATTTCCCGAATGCCCAATGAATTAAAAACATTAAATTTGCACGGGTCCGGGAAGGTCAACCGTCTTTTACACAATCATGTCCAGGTAGTTTCACGAGTTTGACGAGCTTAGCCGAATACCTAATTGGAAATGAAATAAAATAAATTGAAAGGAGCCCTTCGCCCTTGTTCGCTCGAGTGAATTGTCCCTGTTGCCTGATCACGGATAATTGCCACCCGCCTGT